AAGTCTGCACTACCTAAATTTGGTGGTAACCAAGTTTGATTTATACAGTTCACATAATAAACCAATTCACATGAATGTGCTTAAAGCTTTGGAGTAAATGTTTTTCCTCAAAGAAGGATTTTATATACTTGAAGGAGCATCATAACAGAAAAGCATCCAAGAGAAGAAAATGAGCGCAGACTAAAGATCACTTTAAATGAGCTTTTTCACAACAAGGTCAAATGTTCAGTATTAGTTCTAAATTTGTTTTTAATGCATGGTCCTTGTAAGAAAGAAGGGTGAGGTTTAGAACAAAACATAAATATTATATAGCCTACATGTTTTCAGTGGATAATGTTGCAGAAATAGTTTAACTCTGTAACAAAACATTGAAAGAAGACTTGGGGGGAAAAAAGGTTTAAACAGTTAGATTTTTGGTTGTGTTCAGCAAAGTTCACACTGTGTAGTTTCTGATCTCATCTATAGCTCTTTCTAGCGTCATCTGTTTACCATGTAGAGCCACAGTAGTTGAGCTCTCAGCCTACGGTAGCGACAGTGGAGAAGTACGGACCCCCAGCCTGCTATCAATTTGCCTTTAATTTATATCCTCCTCCGCTGGTTACCATCACTCTACGAGGTTTACCACTGTTTTCTTTACATGCAGGATTATGACCTGATGAGGGACAAAAGCTGTTAAAAAGGGGTGCAGACAGCATGCTCAGAGTCACTGTGTAACCCAGCGCTTTCCACAGCCAAGGGGCGGCTTACAATAAACGATGAATGTGGGTGAGTTCTCAGTCGCGTCAGGTCGTGTTCAGTGGTCGATGGTGGTCACTGCACTTGAGTGTGACAAAACTTGGAGCAGATTACAACAATTTAAAAAATGAAATAAATCGATCTCTTAGCATTGTTTGGTATACTGGTCACACTGCAGTAAACGATCCATTCAACTTTGTACATTAAAAAAAAAGATGAGACCTGAACAATAACTTTCATCTTGATTGAATCTACATTTGAATTAATTAGTGTTTTACTCAAGAAGACTTCTGGTTCATCTTTGCTATGTCATTTTTTTTTATATCACTTACTTTGGTATTTATTTGACAATGAAATTCTGTTGATTTTTTTTTTTTCTAGCTTTTCCACACTTCCCTGTTTTACTTTAAATTGCCTCTGAGTGTGAATCCGCTGTGTTTTGTTTGTGCATTTGAGAAAACACAGCAGATACTATTTCTACCACATCGTTAAAACTGGAAGTCATTATACAGCAGTACATGTTCTGAGGGCGTTTTTTTTCCACAGGGACTTCTTGACGGTAAAACAGGTGTTTTTGATGCTCTCTGTTAAGCTGGTACACTCAAATGTAACCTGACGATGAATCCAACATCTCCAGTTAGACATATCAGCTCTCCACATCTGTTTCAGTCCAATAAAATCAGATGAGTGTGCTGTTAAACGCTCGGTTTAATGATTTTTTTTCTGCAGACTGGTGAGTCACAGGGATGTCATTGGAGCGGCGAGGACGTTTATGGCGTCATTCAGGTGGTGAGAGTGAAAAAGACAGACAGGCAGACCAATAAGTTATGTGACTCCGTCTCATTCCACATTATGAGATGTTCCGCCGACGTACGTGGACAGACCTGAAAGCTATTTTTATCGTCTACGATGGCAGATTTATGTGTTTTCTGGTCCTTAGCTGCTGCCTCTGGTCTTGAAGAATAAAGCCAATGAAGAAGTGCAAAATCCTGCAGTGCGTCGAGTATCCACTAGAGGCTGGCTACAGGAGCCCAGGAAGTCACACACAACAGGCGAAAAACCTGTTTTTACAGCAGAAATAAACAAGTTCACAGCCTGGTACCAAAAAAAATTACCATTTCCAGCCTGATTGTGAATAACTTTATCCTTCATAAAACCAAAATAGATGAGTTACCAAACAATTCACAGACATGAGCTAATCAGACAACACCGGAGGTTGCCACTTGGAAATGACCCAGTGTTGGAGACCTAGGACTTAAAATGTTTCGGCAGTGGTGTCGAAACAGGCCTTGACATTGGTTGATTTTTTATTAGTATTGTATCAAAGTTATAAAGATTTTTGCACATTCTGGAAAGCAGCTTTTTTCATCTGCAGCTGTTCTGCTTTTAGATTGTGCATCTGTCTGTTTATCTTGTGTGTATGCGCTTTATACTGTGTGCACATGACTGTCAGTCAGCTTCCACTGTATGACATGTCATGTGTGTCCAGTTAATCAGAGTAATTCTGCTGTCTAACTCATTTAACACACATCAGTCAGTCTGCTGTGTTGTCTTATGTGAGGAGAGGATGCCAGCAGCGTGACAGCTGCAAAGCTGACTGACCTGAAGGATTCTCTGACAGACCTCAACTAGATAAGAGGTGTGCTGGATTGAAATCCATTCTAATTTTATTGTAATACTGTATTGTGCTCAGGGTAAAATTGAGTGGAATAATGAGCTGTCCTTTTCTCTGTTCTGGTCATAAAGCTTTAAAGGAAATGTTCCCAATGATCAACCTTATTTCTTCCATTCAGTCTTAGAGACGGAGTGTTTTTAGCAGATATTTGTGCAGCAAAATGGACCTGCAAACTCTTTTTTCACCAATGTTGTCGATTGATTTCTTGCAAAGAACTGCTGTTTCAACCAGTCTTAACATATGACCAACATCCAAGCAGCAACCTACAGTGTTGAAATCCAATGCTTAACTGCAAAAACCTGCAATCCCTCAAGAGTCCACTTGAGGTCGGCTCCAAAAGACAAAGAGTCCCCATTACTCCCATCGTAAGAAATTATATTTGTACAGCTGAAATAAACATGTTAACATACTGGTATAAACGAACTGTTGTGGTCTCTATATCTCATCAATTTATTTGTAAATATTTGAATTATTTAAAAGTTTGGCTTCATAGTGCCTCTTCATAAACCATGGGGTTACATCACTGAGACTACGTCCATGTTTTATAAAGTCTATGCCAGCAACTGTGATGGAAACCACTATGAAGCCACCTCCTTTCTGTATGTGTGTGAATGTGTTGTTAATGCCTTACGTCGTAAAAAAAAAGATTTATAGACTTTAAAAAAACATGCTTTTAGTCTTCTAGTCTCTAAATGTATGATGATGTACTTTAAACAAGGAATTTATGGTATCGAGTGTGAAGAAAAACTGTAAACGTCCATCAAAGAAAACAACTGATCACTAAGAATTCTTAGAACCTTCTGCAGCTGCAGAGAGAGCACAACACTTGTTTTCCTGACATTTTCCTACGGACAGAAAATGTTTTTCTGTAGATCATTAAAAAGAGGAAGTCTCAGTCTCTAACAAGCTTTGAGATCTTGGGATGTTTGGATGTATCTTGGTATCCAAGGAAGAAAAAACTGCCGGCAGCACAACACCTGACAAACAACACAACATCTCAGCTCTTCAAAACAATGAGTTTTAAAAAGTTTTTCCTCCCAAAAAACTAAAAAAATATCTAGGCTATCAGTCTTACTTCATGTCAGTAGTACATGCGTTCTTCTTTCTGTTGCTGCATACTGTTTAAAATTGGTCTGTAATTATTAAATTACTTGTTATTTTATTCCAACCTCCAATCGATCAATCAATCAATAATTCCTGCTGTATTTGCTAAAGTCAGCGCAGCTACTCAAAGTGCTGTTTCAATACCGTCCTTTATGAAGCGTGAGTTCTGTTGTTTTGAGCATTATAATGATGCTAACAGCCAATAAGCTATCATCGTTTTGTTATTTATTACCAATTATTCTGATAAATTCATCGTGTTAAATTCATCCTGAAACAAGCCTTTCTATAAAAAGATACAAAAGAAAACTCCATAAGTTCCTGCATTGGTTTACTGAAGTGCTGAGCTAAAGTTGAAATTGATTTGAATGTGTTGTACTGTACCCACTGATTTAATTATGTATTTCATTTTATAATGCTCCAATGACTATTTTAAACACGTTCAGTTCATTATTAATCACATAAAACGTAATCATGTGTTTTATTTGGCATGGCATGATGTTTATCACTTTGTTTCACACTAAAATTGTCCAAACAATTTTTTTATAGAAATGTTATATGCAGCTGAAATACATAACTCTTAAATTTTAGGCTCAAATATTTTTGTGAATGTGTTTGAAAATCAGATTAAATTGTAGTAAATTAACTGTGAACTTGGTTATTTGGCAAAAAAAAAAAAACATTACAGAGCTATTATGTAAAAGATTCTTTGTTGAAGATGTTTTAAAAGGTTTGTTTTGGAGATACTTCCCCAGACTATGTTGCAGTACGAGAGAAAGGGATAAATGTAACCGAAATAGAGAGAAATCAGAATATTTCTGGGTAAAACATGTCTGATTCTACTGATGAAACTTTCTGAGATTTTGTTGGTGATGAATGATGCTTTTTCCAATTAGAACTTCCAGAAACAGAGAAGCGCAGTCCCTACTGTACTGTAGCTAGAGCATGGTTAGATAATTTTTCAAGAGCAATTCAGTGTATGTTCTTGGTCAAAAAAAGCATGTTAATGTTTTTATCTTATCATTGAGTGATAATTTATTCATGCATTATTATTATTATTATTTATTGGTATGTCCAAGGTTGTGGATATAGGCAATATAAATGTCTAATATGCATTAATTAGTCTTGTCTGCCACTTGTGTCCTCTATATTATTTCTAAATGACCGAGAGTCTGGAGAGAAAACTACACAGACTTCTGCACCGTTGTTTTTATCTTTAGGCTCGGTCGCCATCTAGTGGATAAATAAATAGACTACACCTGTTCTCTGATTGGCCCTAATTTTCGATGTGCGCGTCTCTGATTGGCTTGTAACAATCTGCCGTCTAGTAAAATCTTCCGTCCGGGAACATACATAGTTTAGACTCTCCTTCGGATCATCTGATTAAAAATGTGTATTGCTAATTATGTTTTTAGACTGTCCAGATTATTGTATTTAAAATGTATATATTTTTTAAATACACATGGGGTAAATAAACGTCACATTATCAATGAAGTGTGGCTGTGATAGTCTGCGTCTGTCTGGTTTCCACCCGGGCGGTAATGTCAGACGGACCGGCTCGATATATGGAGTTTCGAGAAACATTTTGGATACGAGAGTTACTCTCCGAAGCTTTTTGAACAAAATGGGGAACTTTAGAGTATTTCTGAGAGCAGCACTGGTCTTCCTGATATTCGGGGTGTGTTTTGTGAGCTGTGATATAACAGACGGTAACGTGGAACATCTAAAGAGAGAGCACTCGTTGATGAAACCTTACCAAGGTAACACGGATCTGTTAGCTGCTGCGGCTAACCTGTTATTGTTTCCACTCCTCTAATCATCAGCTGGGTTTAGAAGTTATTCAGCGGCATTTGAAACTCTTTTGGTTTTGCTTAGATTATCTAAAACCGAAGCAGCTGCAGCAAAGAGTTCAGGTTAATGCTGCGCTGTTAATTATTATTATATAATTATTATTATTACATTCAAGGTGTTTGCAATGAAAACAACTGAGGGAATAAAAAGTGAAACATTCCTGTTTTACCTGTTTTACAGGTATTACATGTTTTACAGGTTTTACATGTTTTACATGTTTTACAGGTTTTACATGTTTTACATGTTTTACAGGTTGTTGTGGCTCCTGGCTGAAATAGTCAACTCGCAGTTAAAATAAGCTTTTCATTTAAGTGGGACACTTTGCACAATTTTGCTGCTGATATGCAGAAAATAATAATAATAATAATAATGATGATGATAATAATAATAATAACAATAATGATGATAATAATGATAATGATAATGATGATTATAATAATAACAATAATGATAATAATACATTCTTTTTTTAATTTGTTTTTTTTTTTAAGATTTTTTTTTTTTTTTTTTGTGCCTTTATTTGAGAGATAGGACGGTGGATAGAGTTGGAAATCAGGGAGAGAGAGATAGTAGGGAATGACATGCGGGTAAGGAGCCACAGGCCAGATTCGAACCCGGGCCGCCCGCTTTGAGGACCACAGCCTCCGTACATGGGGCGCGTGCACTAACCCACTGTGCCACCAGCGCCCCAATGCATTGAGTTTTTAGAAAAGCGCTATATAAAACTAAAGATGTTTTGACAAAAACGACAAAAAACAAAACAAGGACAGTACGACAAAGGAGTAATGTAAGGGGGGGGGGTGGATGTTAGTGGTTGTAGGCAGTGTTGAAGAGGTGAGTTTTTAGGGATTTCTTGAAGGAAGTGAGTGTGGAGGAGCTCAATAACTAAAGTGATACTGTTCTGAGATGAACATTCAGACACCTGAGACACATTGATTTCTCTCCTCTGCTTTCTCACATGCCCTCATGTGTTTTCTCGTTCGTCCTGCAGGTGTTGGCAGCGGACATAGCAGTCAGTGGGACTTCTGGGGAAACACGTTGGTGACCAGCTCGTACGTCAGACTCACACCAGATGAGAGAAGCAAACAGGGATCCATCTGGAACACTGTGGTGAGAAGATACTATAAACATAAAATCCTGCTTATTACTTCACTGTTAAATCTACGTCTAGGCCAGCTGGTGTAATTGCCCAAGGATCACAGACACCCGAGCCCTCACATTTTAATTTAATAATGTCATAAAATGTAATAAAATCAGGCTTAAGTCACATGTCTAGTCTGACTGGGATAAATTGTCCTTTTTATTCAAGTGTGTGTTTTTTCAGCTCTCTCAGCCTGAATCTTATTGAAGCATCTTTCTTCATTAAGACAGACGTTGAAATAGTTGTGTCTAATTTCCTCTCCATGTCTGTTTGAAAGAGATATCAATCTTTAAAACATGTCAATTTTCATTAGCAAGAATTCCGGGGATTAAGTTGAATAATGAATCAGCAAAACAGTAATTACATTTTTGCCTCTTTAAACTGTAAAAATGACATTTTCAAATAATATCCAGAAAGTGGTTGTTGCCATACTCAAGTGTCAGTTTTGCTGAAATGTATTTGCACAAAACATAAACTGTCAGAAATAACTCTCTGTTGAGAACCAATGAGATCTCTTTAAAAGTGACAGATGTTTAAAAAAAAGAAGAAAGAAGCTCTCATCATTGAGATTCTTCATTTACACATTTTGTAAGCCCTCATTGCTGCTATAGAAAATAACTGCTGTGTCTGTTTTTGGTCTGCAGCCGTGTCACCTGAAAGACTGGGAGATGCATGTGCAGTTTAAGATTCACGGGTCAGGCAAGAAGAATCTCCATGGCGACGGCATCGCTCTCTGGTACACAAAGGACAGGCTGCATCCAGGTAATGTCATTCTCTTTTGAGTTCCGGCTTTTGTGGAAGAATCTCACCCAGCTTGATATCACATTCATGTTTTGATGAGCCTTCTTGCATCAGATGGTTGATCTTTGAATTTACACAAAATGCACACTCAGCTGTACCTGCAGCTCGTCGTTCAGCCACTTCACTTTGCCTGCTTAACCTGTGTTGCTCTTAATAAAAAATACATTTATAAAATCACTAATAAGGCTTCACAAGCTGCAGCTGCATCAGAAGTCTTTGAGTAAAACGTAGCTTGAATAAAAAACAAAACTTAAATGTAAGAACATTTACAAAGGAAAACAAAAAAGAGAACAAAGTCTAATATTTCTAAACCATGCATTATTAGCTACTACATTACTAAACGATGCATACAGGGATCCCACCCTACCCGCCACCCCTTAATTCTACCTACATGACTAGAAACCTTAAAGCATCAACGCAGACCAGGTGTGATCGCCCTTGCTGTCATACTTCATAAGATTATTACAGAGCTCAGCACATGGAACAAGAGACCTGACACTTTTTGACATTGTGCTTAATAAAAAAAAAAAAAGTCATTCTGCCAGCTAGAAACAGGAGGGGTTGCTCCTCTAGCCCTTGGGTTTGTTTGTGTAACGCTCGCTAAACAAGTACTGTATTTGATCTGAACCATGGTAAACACCACCAACACCAACAAAAACACAAAATTAAACAAACTAATTTAGGCGGTGTTTGACCAGCGACTCGTGTTCTGTGAAGTAAAACAACTGTTTTTTTTTTTCAATGCAGTCTGGTGGTTATAAAAGGAGCGATGTCATGGCTGATTCTGGGCAAATAAAGCATCTTTCTCTTTAAGAAAAATTGTGAATATATGTCAAAGTAATATCAATAAGTTTTCAGACGCTTAAATGCTTATTTATTCTTCCTTATGTATGAAAATAGAAACATACATTTTATACTCTATAACCATCACTATCCATATACTCGCACGCGTCCTTTACGTTGGGATCCAGAACTCTCTGTGCCTTTGAATCATCCAGACACCAAAATTAGAAAATCAGTCCTCACGTTTTAAAAGTATGTGAACCCCCCCCTTTACACGCATTGCTCCTGCTCCATCGTTAAGCTTATTTTTCCATCATGTTTAGATGTTTGTGTTCATCATCTCCACTTGCCTTCTTCACTGCTGCCCACAGTAAAGTGTCTCGACCTGTGTGCTCATGTCTCACCTCATGTCTGCCTCCATCCTAGGCCCTGTGTTTGGAAACCAAGATCAGTTTCTTGGGCTGGCTATTTTTTTGGATACCTTCCGCAATGATCTCCATGGGATGGATGTAAGTGTGTGTGACTTTGGGTGATTGACCTGCTTGTTTCTTCGCAGGGCCCGTGTTTTCCAACAATGCTCTCTTCCACGGGCTGGCCGTTTTTATAGATACTTATTCTAACGATGATGCCACCGATGTGAGTGGCTGCTCAGGTCGAATCGTCAGCATGTTGTCGCAACTTGTTTTTCTTTTCTTTTACTCGGAGTCAGCATGTTGTTGGAAGTTTTTTTCTGCATGTTAAAAAGTTATAACTGCATTTATTTTTGCACATTTTCTACTGCAGAAACTAAATCATGTTTTTTGGCATGATGGCTGTCAGACAGTTCCCGTGTTGGTAAACATCATTTAGTGTTTCTATGAGTACATTCTGATACTTCAATACTTTCACATTGCAGTTTAAAATGTTCTGCTTTGTTGTTGTTCCTCATTGGAGTTGGATCCTTTGTTTTTTAATCCTGCACGTCTGGACTATGTGGTCATTATGTGAAGCTAAAACAGATCCAGAAGCATCTAGCTTACTTCAAATTAACAAATTCAAGTCTAACTGTTTCCAGCTATCAGCCAGTTAATTATCTCTGTCAGAGATTAAATGTAGATATAGGTTCATATTAATAATTAAAGGTATAAGTTCCTGCAGTGTGAAAGTAGCCTCTGTGAATACAGAAACATGAGCTGATATGAGCAGGAGCCCTGAGCGACAAGTGAGAAAATACATTCAGCAAAATCTTTTTTCTAAAAATGTCTATCTTGCATAATTTTACTAATTATTCTTTCAATAAACACTTTCATTCATAACGGATGAAAATAAGAGTTGGAAGGATACAAAAAGTTTGACCAAGGGCGAATAAAAGTTTTGTTACATTCAGTTTTTCAAATTTATTTTATTTTGAAGGGATCAACATTGTAATGCTTATTTTGACCACAAGGGCAGAAGTGCAGCAACTCCCCATGTAATGAACATGACTGATATCGTTCATGTTATCTTGGAAACCTCTTTTTCAGATTTTTTCAAACTGGATAAATCATTTTCTCCTATTTTATTAAAATGTTAAACCTGATGTGGAACCCTAAAATAAAGTGCATCATTATTTATTTTCTCACTTGATGCTAAGGGCTTCTCCAGCAGCACACTGTGGACTTCTTTTATCTATTCATTTGTCCATCATCTTTATTTAAAAAGACATGTATGCAACATTATGTGTTAAGCTTTAGTTGTTGATTTTGATCTCTTCTGTTGCCAGCGGTCCTTCCCGTTTATTTCAGCCATGGTGAACAACGGTTCAGTGAACTACGACCACGGCAAAGATGGCCGATCGTCGGAGCTGGGAGGCTGCTCCGCTGAGATCAGGAACAGAGATCATGACACGTACCTCGCCATCCGCTACTCCAGAGAGAGACTCACGGTATTTAAACAATCTCTTTTTTATTTCTACCAGGATGCTGGTAGATATTAAAAAAAATATTCTAAAGCACGTACTTTGTTTTTCATGATTTTGAGGATTTAAAAGTTTATTTTTCTTTGATAGAAAGATATTTTTTACAGTTCTATATTGCATGACTTAAATGTAAGTTATATCCTGCAGGTGATGATTGATGTGGAAGACAAGAATGAGTGGAAAGAGTGCATCGACATCGGGGGGGTTCGTCTTCCTACCGGATATTTCTTTGGGGCCTCGGCAGCTACGGGAGATCTGTCCGGTAGGTTGGAGCTTAAGGCTGTACTCTAACAAACAGTTTTTAACAAAACCAATACAAAGTGAAGTTTTTAAATGATGATATCAACCACTTTCTCTAAGTGACATGTGGTATTCTAAATAGTTCATACTCACCACATTGTCAAACCGTTTGAACTTTCTTTATTGTGTTTCAGATAACCATGACATCATCTCCATGAAGCTCTACCAGCTGATGGTCGAACACAGCCCTGAGGAGGAGAATCAGGACTGGACAAAGATCGAGCCCAGCGTCAGCCTCCTCAAGTCCCCTAAAGGTACATTAAAGCTGCGGGAATCTTGTTCTGTTTGTGTATGTAGAGAGTACATGTGACTAACTGTGGGAAACGTGTCATCGCTCACACTGTACAATTATTTACAACTGAAAATTCACTCCATCCAGAATGCAGTGATTTACATCCAGTCATGCAAATCGAGAATCGAGAAAAGAGAGTCATGCCTGTTAATTTTGATGCAAATAAAATAAGTGGCAAATCGCAAAGGCAGAACGTGTTGTATTGAAGATTTTCGAGAACACAATCAGGAATCAGAATCAGAATTTAGACATTACAGTTGCTCTTATTTACAGTATAGAAGAAGAAACATATAGGAATAGAGTTCTATTTTAGGACTAGGTGGTCTAATCCCTTGTAACCTGCATTATAAAATCAGGGCGGGAGGGGGGATACAGTAGTGGGTACTTGAGGCAGGGTATAAAGAGAGGCAATAACATCCATCAGGGGGCCGCCACCCTCCTTCCTAGGTGTTTTGATGACTTGCCCACAACAACTCCAGAGGGCTCATCGGCAACATGTGGTGTCCCAGATGTGCCCCCCTCTGCTTTACCTCCCTCTACTCACCCTGAGTTTGTGCTCATGAATTTTTAACAACTCCATCCCAAGCAGGACAGCCATTCACAAATAAGCCATTGAGTTGAAACGTTGGGAGTGAACGTGTGCTTTCTCGTACCTCCACAGACAACATTGACGATCCTACGGAAACTTCCGAGGCACGCCCCTCACCGGCTGGAAGGTGTTCCTGCTCCTGCTCTGCGCCCTGCTGGGAATCGTCGTGTGCGCCGTGGTCGGAGCTGTAGTTTTCCAGAAGAGGCAGGAGAGGAACAAGAGGTTTTACTGAGGAAGAAAAGACGGAGAACCTTGTCAGGGAGATGTTTGTTTGTGGAATGAACTGTTTCCAGATGACAGATAGAGCACATTCAATGTGAATTTTTTTTCTAAAAGATTGTACAAATGTTTATATCTTTGAAGCACTGCGTTGGGAATGGACGATGGTAACTTGAGATGTGGGTTAAAAGATGGCGGACAAGAGGTTACCATAATGAGTGACCCTGATCTATGCTGTTTTTTGTTTTTGGTTTTCATGTGTCCATTGATGGCAGCGTGAGAATAAACCTGCTGCTGTTAAAGCGCTTTGATCTCCACCTTTAACTCTGTTTAGAAATATGCTAAATCGTCAAACAGATGTCTCCAGCCCGTTTCTGCTTTTCTCTCTTCTGCAGATATGATGCTAAAAAAAAAAATCGGCGTACTTTGGCATCCAGTGGTCATTTTGATTTTGATTTTTGTCTTCCAGACTTTTTACCCTATTTTTTATGGAATAAGAAAGTTACAAAAATGTCAGACAAAAAAAAAACATAATGAAGAAAACATGTTAAACATTAGAAGAGTAGAAAATCAAATGGGTAACCCATGGGACATGTTGTATTTGTTGATCTTTCTTTGTTACTTTTTCTATTCTCTAACTTTAAAGAAGAAACCTTTGCTGTTTGTTACTTTTGATCATTCAGACAGTTTAACTTGTTAGCAAGGATAAAATCATGCTCTCCATGTAATCATTCATAAAGGAGCAGAACACAGTGACTAGGGGGATAAATTATATAAATGTGTTGTCAGGACCCTCGACTGTCAGACAACAGGAGTGAAAGTTTTTTTGTTTTTTTTTCAGTGTTGGGGTTTTAAACACTTCACATCCTCAGTCCTAAAGGCAGAGATGTTTGATGTTTTTCCTTTCTGTCTGTTTGTTTCCCTGCAGCATCGGGGTGATTAATCCAGAATATGCCTTAGTTATGAATTGTTTGTGTTTTATGTTTAATAATGATTCATCATGACAGACCCTCTGTCATTCAATGAAGTATTATGAGAATCACTGACTGATTCAAGTGTGATTAATAAAAGCAGCTCTTTCAAAGAACACAGACAAGGAACTAATAAACCTTAAAGTCCACTTAACACCTTCAAACCAGCTTTTTCATTTCTCTGAAGATCATATTGCTCTTCTTTTGGTTTTCTTCCAGTCCCCCTGCTCCCCATATCTCGGGTAAATCTTGAATCTTTTTTTTTTTTCCTGCTCCCTTGAAGCTGTGCTGTATTAGTTTCTGCCACATCTGATTTGTGATGAGACTCGACACAACTTGAAACCACTCTACAGAAATAAAGTAATACAATTAAAACTGTTTGAGTCGTGGTGTATTATTGACAAGTTTTATCCACCTTTAACTTCGGATTATCAAAGTATTTATCAGGAAGAATGTAACAGTCTTAACGACAAGTGATTAATATAATCATTAAAAAGATAAATGAAGAAACACCGTCAAGACTGCAACAGTAACAACAATTCTCAAGACAGTGCCCAATGCAGAGAAACAAGAAACACATTTAGTGCACAAAACAGAACGATATTACTGCAACATTATCCATTATTCAGCAACGTGTACACCAAAACACAGCGAAGCAAAGAGGCAATAAGTCAAAAATGAAATACGGCTCATAAATCTTAAAAGTCTTAGATGAAGAAGTTTGTAAAGAGCTAATAGACCATCAGGCTGGAGTAAAGGACGAGGAAAATTGAACAGCTGGTTAGACATTAATAACAATGACATTTAAAATAGTGTAAAAGCATAGATTACAGTCCATTCACTCAAACACTTCATGTAAACAGTATCTATAATGTAGATACTGGTAATCTTTTTTAAATAATGAACACATTTTTTTAAAATATAAATATTTTTTTCTTTATTTAAAAATAATGAAGAAATGTAGCCTCGTAAAAAAAACTTTCCCTCTAACACGCCTGAATTTAGAACTATATGGAAATAATAATTACTTGGGGGGGAAAAAAAATATTCTAAGTGTAAAAGTTTAAAAAGACTTTCCAGAAATTTCCAGGTTTTTTTTGGTGTTCTGTTGAGTTAGAGGGGCGGGGCTTAATAGTGAAGTATCGATGCCCCGCCCACTGTCTCGCTCTGCCGGTTGCGAAGGTGCGAACTCGGAGGTAACTCACCTGCTCACCTGTGCTTCTCAAGGTCGCTAGCTTTCATGAAGCCAAATAATTTAGCTTCAGTGGAGCTCGGAAAACGGACATGACTGTTCCCCTATATCAACAACTGTTGGCCAAAAACTACATTTAGAAACAGACGTTTCTTCTCCTGCCTTTGGAGTTTAAGCACCTGACCACCCTAACCTGTTAACTTTTCACTGAGATTAAAATTATCACCGCTTCACTACAACAATGTAAGTGTTCACTGTTTGCCAACATTGCAAGTTCAAATTGTTTCTCCATTTGCTGTGTTTCATCTTTGTCATATTAAACCAATGAGGCTGCTGGTTGTTTTCTTTGTTGGTGTTTGTCTGGCTTTAAATTTCCTCTTGCTTTAAAATGTGGGACTATTTGTTTGATTATTATTTTTGAATATTGGCTTTGCCTTACTTTGGTTGTAGTTGATCCATCCTTTGACTGATGTATTGTGCAGCTGTCATGCTGTTGATTACATTAGTGGTGAAATGTAGGCTTTAACTTGTATTATTTGTGTGTTGCAACCAGGTGTTTAATTTGTAAAGGCTTTTAAAGACATAATTAGCCTATGCTGCGCAGCTATTCAAATATTGAATCACCTGCAGTATTGTCTACATTAAACAGAAAGCAAAGGGGTTATTTGTAAACATGATTTACTAATCTTAATAAATCACATTGAACAGCAGAGTTATGTCATAAGCTAAATCACATGAGTGCCCTGGCCTGTTGCTGTGAAGCAGGTGGACTGCTAGGATTTATCACCTCATTTCCTGTATGCTTATTTACGGGGCGAATGTGCAGTATTCATTATTTGTATTTGCTAAAAAAAGCCATTTAACA